TTCCTTGCTGTTTGGGTGACACAGAAACCTGGTGTCAGAATTATGTCTGAAAAATCTAAAGGATGAGAGCTTAGAGGAAGAGGCCAATGGCTGTATTTGGGGAGGTAGCTGCCCTTTTAGAGTCTGTTACAGCAAAAGGGCTGTGATTTTTTCCAAGGACCAGATCTGGATGGATAATGGGAGAGGAAGTCAGCCTGGGGCTATCTTGGTTCCTGCCCAAGAGGAAGCTTCAGTAAAAGGAGGTCAAAAGCAAATGCCCAGATACCTGAGAGTGGGGAAGAATTCACAAATGACTCGGTGGGCTAGAGATGGATTTGAGATACCCAGAGGTGGTGGTGGTAGGGTTTGCAAAATAACCCACTACATCCTCTAGGAGGTAAAGAGTCAGATTTAAATATCGGCTAGTTTTAAAAGGAGCCAACGCAGCCAGCATCAGCATCAATTAAGTAAGAATTTTCCTGCCCTGCTGGTCTCTCCCCTCTCTGCACACTAGCCGTGGAGAGTTATAAAACTGCAGGAGGAGCAGTAGAAATGCAGTGAAAGGAAGGAGAAGAAATGAATCAAACTCCTTTTCCTGACCTCTGGCTTCTCTGACTGCAGGCTTTGCTGGGTGTAGCAAGTCTGAGCCAGATGTGGGGAGAAGAAGCCAAAAATATAAATGAAGTTCATAATTTCAATTATTACATGGGAATGGAATTTTAACGATTAGATTGATACTGAGTTTTTGCTATGAGTGATAATGAACTTTTAAAATAAACCTAAGAGTCATCAGGAGAGTCACAGGAAATGCTAGATTTTCCTCCAGGGCCCAGGAAAACAAACAAATGAAGTTGCTTTATGATCACATGCCACAGGTTGTCCTTTCTGAGAACCGTTTACATATGTCAGAATGGGAATTAATCTCGAAAACAAAAACTAGAAAAGCAACCACCTTTTTTTAATAATCTGGATAAAAATAAAATGCCCATAGAACATAGGAAAATTGTAAGGAGTATGGATAGCCATCATTCAAAGAGAGAAAATGTGGCCCATATTTTGCTTTTTAAGTTGAGTGAACAGTTTTACACTGAAATTATGTACCAGTCCACAGACTTTTACCTACCATATAAAATACAGTCCAACAGAAGTCAAGGAGAAAGGGTCATCTTAGGTTTACATTAACATAATTTACTATCATCTGAGAATTATGTTTAGTAGAATTTTTTTCAGTACAAAGTTATAAGAGAAGTAACATAACTATAGGAATTCTAAGGATCTAGAGAGGCTTGAATAAAGATAAAACAAAAATGACCCCCAGATAACATTTTCTTCTTGAGCTTCTTGAATGTCTATAACTCCTTTTATCACTTAGGGCCTATTTCAAGTTCCTACTTGGTCGTTTCCATGTGTTGATATCATCAGGCATTGACCTATTTCATTATATTTTTTCAAGTATCTTTTAATTTTTAATTTTAAAAATTTCATTCTTAAACTTTTTCAAATGTGAATACACAATTTTTTTCCTGAATAAAGAGAATTTGATGAAAGGCAGGTTAAGGGACTAGTAGCTTTGCAGTATATACAGGACTTAGAGTTGGAACTGTGTCTTTCTACAAACCTAACATGACAGCTGGGACATAAACACTCAGTAGACGTTAGCTGAAGAAATGGCTGAGCAGACAATGAATCACTTGTAGGTATTCAATGAACTCCTGTGTTCTACACCAGGTACTATTTAAGTTGAAGAATCTATAGTCAAAGTAACCATATCAAAGAATCAGACTGAATCCAGACTCCACCAATCTTTCCTTTCGGGAGATCCCTGAAACTAATCACCGTCTTACTTGGATGTTAATGCATCTGGGCAAGACAGCAGATGGTCGTGGGCTTTCTCCATTTCATATCTGAGATAGGCTGCTTTAGTAGAAGACATTAGGAGGAATCAGGACACCTAGGTTCTTGTTTTTAACTTTGCTTTTCATTCACCTTCTGAATGTGATCAAGTTAGTTACTCTCTAAAATCTTCAGTTACTTATCAGTACACCATGGATAATAACATTTCACCTAGCTAGGAATATAAGGGATGAAATGAGAGCCTGGGAAATGTACTATATAAACATAAGATATTGCTGGTTTTTCTACCTGGGGCCTTTAGGCATCTTAGGGCTCACATGTAGTTCACTACTTCTTGTTTTGAAGTAATAGCAGGAGTTCCTTTAGGGCCTCCCTATCCTGGCTTAATACACAATACCTTCTTGTCTAGTCTACACCGTGAGCATTTAACAAAAGTTAATAGATTAACTGATTTTGATATGAGAATGTCGACTTCCTTATCACCAATTGAGTCTCCGTCCTTTTGGTTCCAGCATTTTTAGTCATTTATCCATTTGTTTATGCATTCATTTATTTATTTTGATTAGACATCTTTATCCAAATGCAAACTGGTAATAAATCAAAACATTTTGAAGATTGTAAAGCCTTTTAAAAATGCTCTTTTTTGATAGATACTACTCGTTCCAAAAAGAGTTATGAAATGGATGGCCGTGAGTATCACTATGTGTCGAAGGAAACGTTTGAAAGCCTTATGTACAGTCATAGGTAAGCTGGACGTTCAGAATCTGATTCTCCTTTCTGGTTGTTTTACATTCAAAATAGATTCCTTATTTTTATGCATTGTCCAAAACTTCTGAGGTAATTTCTTTTTGTTTCTGAAAAATTAAGCAAGGGAATGAATATTGATATACCGATACACCAATGTTTTGAATTTGGAGAGAGAACAGAATTGTTATGAATTATTAGAGAATTTGAAGTAGTTAAGACCTAAATCTCCTAATATATATATTTTTTTCCTGTCCAATATCCACTAATTCCTTTCATGCTAGCAAGATCCACTTATTTTATTCTCTTCTCTTGGAGTTTATGTTCATGTTATTACTAATAATCTTTTATTCGTAGAAAGAGTTCTTGTTTTCTTCATCCCACCCTTGCAGGATGCTTGAGTATGGTGAGTACAAAGGCCACCTGTACGGCACCAGTGTGGATGCTGTTCAAGCAGTCCTCGATGGAGGAAAGATCTGTGTCATGGACTTAGAGCCTCAGGTAGGTCTGTGGTGGAAAATTTCCCACCTCCCCAAAGTAATGAGTGCATGTCGTCCGTTTTGTGTACGTGCTGTAGGTTGTAGTTGAGACACTTTATTCTGTTAGCCTTTTAAAGATGAGACCACTTCCCTTATCTAAGGACCAGGACCTTAAATGAAAGATCAATTGTGAATATCTTGTCTTTAGTTGGGGGGAACAATCTAGACGCTCAGACACAAAAATAGAAGTGGGTAGCCATAGAGAAAACTGAGAATCTTGCTTTGACCTTGATCAAAAGGCATGAAGGTAACTTCTTGTGGAGGGAATATGTTGCTTTACCCAAGGAGGTAAAGTTCCTATGTTATTGTATCGCTAGCTGCCTTCCTGAGACCATATGTGGAATAGGGCAGGTGTGAGTGAGTTAAGGAAAGATAAGGAACATACAATGTGTAGTCCAAATTTTTATAATCCTTGTATTTTCTTTGTGTTTTCTGTAGTCATTTAAAGATACATCTTGTGTGCTAAAGAGAATCGGGGGACAAGATTTGTTCTTACTGATCTTATTTGGATCGAAGCTGGTGGTCAGTGTGAAGATGTCAGTAGCAGCCAATGTGAGACAATGGCAAGAAAAAAGGGAAAGAGGGTGAAACAGAGCTGATCAGCCTTGAGAGGCTGTCTTTGTCTCTCCCTATGAGATCCTGTATAGGATCCTGTTCTTAGATTTCAATAAGGGTGTCAATGGCTAGTAAAAGGAAGAGCCAGGATTTGAACTTAGTTTTGATTCTAGAGCTCCATCTCTTAATTATTAAAATGTTTTTTAGGACTTGGGAGCCCATGAGAGTATACTCTGGCTAAAAATAACCACTAATTTCTGGTCTTAGAAATTTCAAGAACATTCAGGTTGACTCTAGGAAATTAGGACTTCTGTTTTTAGATCTGTCAGTCTAATACTCTTCCAAAAGAGGTGTTTTGGCCACTAGGACTTCTGATATTAAATGTGCACTTAATTTTTCTGTTTAGGGTATTCAAGTGGCTCGAACCCATGAACTGAAGCCTTATGTCATATTTATAAAGCCATCTAGCATGAGTTGTATGAAGCGATCTCGGAAAAATGCCAAGATCATTACAGACTACTTTGTGGACATGAAGTTCAAGGTAAGATACAGAGGAAAAGGATGAAAGTGTTTTTTTTCTTTTTTTCCCAGTCAAAAAATCACTGTACTGTTTCCACAGCATCTCTATGTTAAGGAATATAATTTTTGTTTCTAATGAATAATGCCCTTATGATTTATCCTTTTTACTGGACATTTATATATGTTAAAATAAAATTTAATACCTATTATGATGCTACTTTTATTTTCTTTCTCCTCTTTCTGGGTCTAGTTTTAAAAAAAGGCCCCCAATTTGCAAAGACACACAAAAATTGGGTGTATGTATTTAAAATGGGTTATTTATTTTATAAAAGCATTTGAGTTTACATTAAAAATGCTCCAATTATCTCATCTGTAATATGAAATATCCAAGTATATATATTAAAAACACAAAAATGCTTATTAATGATTTTGGTAAAAAAATAGAGGGGCCAAGCCAGGTGGGATTAATCAGTGAACTCTTCCTAGGTGATTTTTTCCCCATATATATATTCCCACCCCCCCCATTAAATCCACTTTAAATATTTTAAGTCAAACATACATTCAGCAAGGTGTATAAATCTTAAGTGTACAGCTCACTGAATTTTTCACATGTGTATGCACCCAGGTAACCATTACCTAGATCAAGATATTACATTCTCTTATTTTTGTGTGTGGTAAAAAAAAAAACATATAACAGAAAACACAAAACTTACCATCTTAACCATTTTAAGTATACAGTTCAGTAGTGTTAAGCCTATTTATATTGTGAAACGGATCTCCAGAACTTTTTCATCTTGCAAAACTGAAATTAAACATATGGACTGCTACACACATTTACATGTCATTCCTTACACAGGGGCCATGCTAATCTCTACACTGTTCCAATTGTAGTATATGAGCTGCTGAAGTGACCATGGGGTATTTTTATATTATCTTTTATCTCTTATTTTTATCTTCATTACTTTTTCAATGATTACTGTATGAAAGTTTGATTCTCCAGTTTGCATTTCAGACGGTGTGGAGTCTATGGATATATTCTCTGAATCTTATGGGCATTTAAAATTCTGTTCTCATTTCTATGGCAATCTAAACAAATTAACAAAATTGTTTCTGGATCATGTGTATGGTCACCTTTTAAAGAAGCACTACCACAAGATCTCAGTGCCTGCATTTATATTTGTGTTTATGATTGCATTGGCAACAAGTTGTACTATTTTAATTAATGTGGACAAATAAGAAAATAACAGCAATGAATTTAATGTATTAGTGCTAACTGAAGGCTAAATGACCTCGACTAAATGAACTTTTCACAGTAGTAGAAATAGACAATAGGTGAATTCGGTCATCGTGAAGCAAACAGTAATTTAATTATATACCTGATTTCAAAGAACCAGGTCATACCATCCTCATTGTCAAAGTGGCCATTTTGTATCTGCAAAATGATGTCATTCTTATCAGATTAATGTTCACTTGAAATTTAAGTTTTATTTATATACAATTGGCAAAATTTCTTTGGTTTTATACTGTATATGGTTTGAAAGTTTCAAGTGTTATCATAATAGAATATAATTTAAGTCCAATTTGGAGGCTGAGAGGATTGGTCTGTCTACAAACTATTACTCAATTTTGGAAAAAAACATGACCTGGGAGACATTAAGTAAGACTAACGATAGGAACATAAGTTTTGTGGTTTAGAATCGAAGACATCGATATGACCTAATTGTTTTTATAAATAGCCATACAACGGAACGTAATAGCGTAACAAACTGCATATTAAGTCTATTCATCTCTTTAAGTTGGTGCTATGCATGTTTTTCTATTTCTCCTAAAGGATGAAGATCTACAAGAGATGGAGGATTTAGCCCAAAAAATGGAGACTCAGTTTGGTCAGTTTTTTGATCATGTGATTGTGAACGACAACCTGCAAGATGCACGTGCCCAGCTGTTGTCTGCAGTTCAGAAGGCTCAGGAAGAGCCTCAGTGGGTACCAGCAACATGGGTTTCCTCTGATACTGAGTCTTAAGGAGGCCTTCTGTTTAATAGTGGAGTTTTAAGAATGTTCACCTGTTACAGAGAGCTGGCAAAACAGCTGTAATCTAAAACAGCAGTATTGTATTTGCCCTATTATAATACGTGCAACTTCAAAAGTGCTGCAGTTTGTTAATTAATCTTATTTGAAAAAAAAAAGTGTATTGCATGGTTATGTAGAGTTTGGCTTTTCGGCTTTTAGAAAAAAATGTTTTCCTTTACCTCATATTTAGCAATTGGTAGGAATATGAATAATGTTAAGGCCCCTGACTATGAGAACTTTTCATAATTTCATATAGTCTTTGTATGATTCAGATTAAAAGAGCTTTCCGAAATAAAATTAGTATTTACTTTCAGAAACTGTATTTACCTTGTGAAACTTGTTTTATGAATATGGGTTTTACATAAAGTGCCCACTTGACTAACTCTGCAAGAAAGAAGGGTTAATACACACATTTCATATCTAACATCAGAAACAGCACTGTTATCGTCATGTTACACATTAGGCTACGAGGAAAAATGATTCTTTTGATCAGAACTGTAACAATCATTAATTTTCCCCAAAGCCAATATCTACATTTATGCCTAAATTGGGAAAGAGCAATAGATTTTAGTGCTAGAGACCAATATGTGAGAAAACCAAGGGATGAGGATGTTAGTCCAGGAAGTCTTGTTTTTCTTTCTTCCCTAACCCAGGCGCCCTTCCTGCCCCTGATCTGTTCCTCTTCTACATCATTCCCTAACTTTCTCCAGATGCACGCCATCTCTCTGCTCTCCCTTAACTGTAAAACAAATTGAGCGTAAGCTTCAAAGTATCTGTAGTATTATTTTTCTAAGAAATCCAACGAAACAAAACAAAGAGAATTAAGTCATTTTAAACACTTATGTGAGCCCGGATTTGATTTTTTTTTTTTTTTTTTTTTTGGTGGTGCTCCTTGGATGGAGAGTAAGCAACTGGAGAAAATCTGAGAATTGCCTGTATACACCCACACCCACACCCACACTCCCGAACCTAAACGCTGGGCCTGGTGGCTAAACGCGTGCGTCTCTGACTGACGCCAGGCATCGAGGATCTTGGCAAAGCGAAGGCGGGCGGAGACCCGGCCCCGGGGCGGCGGCCTAGACAGGCGCCGGGAAGCCCCAGCCTCCCGCAGGTCCCGGAGGCCGCGGCGTCGCGGGGAACTAGGCTCGGGCAGGCGGCGGTTGCGCCGAGGAAGCCCCGCGGGGACAGGGCCATGAGGGCCGACTCGGGACTTCGGGTGGAGGAGGACCATCCGGTGAGCGGTGAGGGGCGCGCCGGCCGCTGCTCTAACGCAGCCGCTACGTCTGGGGCGGGGTGGACGCCGAAGCGCCGGGGATCAGAACCCGGGAGCCGAGCTCCCGGAGCGCGCGCATCGGCCCCTTGGGCGCTCACAGGGTAGGGTTGGGGTGGGGGCTGGAAGTTTCTCCCAAGGCCGGACCGGAACAGCAGGAACGGGCCGAGGAGCCAGGCGTGAGTTTCCGGGGGCCTGCGTGCGCCTGTTGCCATGACGACACTTCCCTCCTCTGCGGCCCCGGCTTCTGCGGGTTCCGAGGCTGCCAGCGAGGCCCTTCCTATCGACTCCTCCCGGAGGGCATTTAGCCGCCCAGGAAAGAGATCGCCGTTTGTCAGAGGGGACTTTTAATCCTCGTCTTTTCTCACGTCCCTGGAACAAATCACCGCAACCACTAGGGAAACCATTTGAAAAATCGTGATTGCCGCCCCGCGCCCGCCGGCGTCTCTCCTCCAGCTGACGGGACACGTCAGCCCCGACTCCAACGCCCACTTTCCTGCAGGCTGGAAAGGCCAGACCAAATCCCCTGCTACCCCTGGGTCCCACTGGGAGGAGGCTGCGGGCGGGAGCGGCCTGTGCAGCGCAGCCCGATGACGCATTGCGCCTGCGCGCGCGGCGGGGCGGGCCGGTGTGAACCCCCGCCGGGTGTGAGCCGCTAGCGCCTGGGAGCCGGCGGCCACCGGGAGTCCGCTTTACACTGAATGGGGAAGAAGCAGGTGGTAAGCGAGCCTTAGATACTTGTGAGTTCAGTTGAGCTGTCCTACTTTTGAGGAGTGTGGAGGTTGGCTTTCTGGATGGATGACATGTCATTTTTGCGAGACTTTTAAAATAAGTGAACTGAGTAGTTGGCCTAGAACGCGGTCCGTAGCATCTTTAGAACAATAGCGCTTTCATGTAACTATCTTTTCCAGTTGAATTTTGACTACTGGATGGTGTTAAGACCGCCGGCCTTGTCCTAATCTTGTACCATTTGTATTAATACACTTTTTGAGTGAATGGATAACTAAGTGGGACAGCTGTGGAACAAACTACAAGAGTGTTTAAAATTTATCCCTTTTAAATCAATGTCCTCTGCAAGCAGCTTGAGGTATTTCGAACATTAAACTCATTTCTAGGCATTTCTGTTAGTATTTTATTTTGAAAGCTTCCAGAATGCTACTTAACTGTAATTTCTCTGAACTACACTTTTCTTGTTCCTGTAAAGTAACATTTCTACGTTTTAAACAAATTCTTTCTGCCCTAAATTGCGTTCTTAAGGCTGTATTCAGAGTATGTTTTTAAAAAATGTTACTGTATGGCTTAAAACCTCCATTGCCTTCCCATTGAATTAAAACAAAATCTAGGCTCCTTACCTTGGTTTTCCTAATTAATCTGCTCATGCCTTGGTAACTTGCTCCATTCTTACTGATCTTTTATCTGGAACTCTCTAAGCCTAGTCTTCTCAAAAGCCTTTATATTTGCCCCCTTTTTGCTCTTTTCTTTTCCAGGTCTCAGCTCATAGAGAGACTTTTCCTAACTAAAGTAGCACTTCTCACTCTCCCTCATTTATTTATATTTCTATTTTATAGCCATGGTATATATTTATATATATATGTATATAAATATATAATAATACACATGATTATATATATATTTTTAATATTCTAATATTTAACTACTAGAATGTAAGTTCCATAAAAGCAAGGATTTCTCTGTTTTGTTCATTAATGTATCCATAATGCTTAGAACAGGGCCTGGCCTGTAGAGGATAGGGAATATAGGTAGGAAGGAATTTTATATGAAATTTAGAAATGATAGAACAAATTTAAAATTGTCCATCTGATTCCCATCATTACCTCCTGGGTTTCACTTGAGGAACAGGGTTATCAAACATTTGAAATCCATGAAGTAAAGATGCTCTACGACTTGTATTTACAAGCTGTTTTCTTTTTCTTTTCCCCATCCTGGTAGCGTCCTCCACGAGCCCTTCCACCTGTGCCAAGGTAAAAATACTTTACAGTAATTTTATTATTGAGTTTTAAAAATGCAAAATGAATAAAGTGAAAAAAATTGACTAGTACCATTACACAACTATAATAATTCAGAAAAGGCTTCCTAAAAGTTTAAAGGTGAAAAATCCTTGAATCATTAAGGTAACAGTTATAATTAAATGTTCGATTTCAAAGACCAAGTGTCCACATGGTAGGATAATGGATCCATTCTGCATGTTTTGGTTCCTTGTTTATCCAGAATTCTGATCCTCTTTTGTTTGCTAGAATAGTTTCCTCAGAGTTTAAGCTGATTTTAATCAGTGACAAAGTAAGAGTTCTTAATCTGTTTAATCCACTTTATTAATAGACAGTAGAGAATATGTATATGTAGGTTCAGAATATATTGGGGTTATTTTGTTAGGAATCTTATCTAACAGCTTATGACTTATAAATAATAAGCTAGGTTTGTAAACTAGCTGACTTTGTGTGAAAGCTAATTTTATTTTAAATTTCTAAGGACTTAAGTCAATTTTCAGTCTGACAATATAATAGATTTCTAATTAATACAATTTCTCTTTTTGTCTTTGTCCTGATTAAATTTGGTTGGTGTCATGTAAAGTGCTAATCGAGGTGAGTTAATTCACTGTTAATGTAAAACTTTCTAAATACAGTATTTGGTGTTTGAAAGTTAGATTCCTTAATTTTCTCTTAAAATTGAATCTGAATAGTATACTTTATAATGCTATGGGCTTTTTAAAAATCATAATAATCTCTTGTGACTGCCATTTAAAAATGATGGTTGCTGTTTGACCTTACAGATATAAAAGTGCTCATCCCTGAATTGAGTCCCCAGATCATTACTGTTGGCTAGTTTATGGTTTCATAACAGGGACTGCATCTTCCTTTGCCTCATTTCATCAGGATAGACTGGATTATGTCACACTAATCCCTGTTAATACGACTTAATATCATACAGGGTTTTTCTGGTTAATGCAAAGTCCACTGTAGCAACAGTCCAGGATAGTTACCTTTCACTATCTCTTTACTAATCATCTAGTGATTCAGGCTACTTCGCTGCTGTGGTTCTACCATTTTTTTTTTTTTTTTTTTTTTTTACTTGATTCTTTTGTTTCTGCCATCTTAACATGAGGCCTCCTCAGTTGCCACAGCAACGGAAGAGAAAGCTGGAGGGTAACTCACTAGCTCTTTCAAGCTTTTGGCCTCCAGATGACACATAACACTTCTGGCCAGACACATAACACCTATTGGCCAGAACCAGTCATAAGCCACCTGAGTGTAAGGGGGCTAGGAAATGTAGGGGATCAGATGAGTATTTGGCGAGCCCACTTTCTGTCAGTTTCTAACATTACTGACCAGCAGGGAGCTACTAGTACCACACTGTGGGCTCTCTTTGACTTTGTCAACTTCTTGCCTTCTTCCCCTAACGTATAGAAGTTGGCTGGACCTGGGGAAGAGAGGGAAAGGTCTTCCCTACTAAAAGTTCCCTTTGGACTGTTCCCTGCATTGACTTTTAGGCAGCCTTTTCTGTTGTTCTTTCTGTTTTATAGATGATATTCCACTTAGTCGTCCTAAGAAAAGGAAGCCCAGAACAAAAACCACACTAGGTAAGAAGTTGTTCTTTGTTCTGTGGGATCACAAGTTTTTCCAGGACCTCGAGCGTGGTAAACATCACCGATCAGGGAGAGGCAAGACTCCTGCATTTCCACGTCATGCTGTGTTGAGGATGGAATCAAGTTCACTTTGAAGCAGTGGGATTCTTGGTGGTAGTGAGGGATAAGGCAGTGGGGTAGCCTGAAGAATGTCTGAAGCATTCATGTTATAAAGAGCTGTGCCACCCCAAATCTTACTTCTGCAGCATTCTTTGACTCTTTGAGGTCTTTTATCTGTAGGTAATATAAGTTGGTGATTGGTTCCAGACCCTTGAACAGGATACTGGATTTAGAGGCACAGGGTTCTTGGATCCCTCATTTCAGCCAGAGAATCTCTACATTAGAGCATGAATCTGAAGGCAGGGCCATTATCATCCTGGTATTAAAGCTCCAAAAATGACCAAGTTCTATGGACTGCTTTTTATCCTAGTTATTCACTAATAATCCAGGATGTTCTGTCAGTAACTCAGACCGAGCATGTCCAGAATTTATCATCACTTTCAACAAGAAGTCAAGTTTTACTTGTCACTTAAAATTTATGTTAATGGACCCTCACTCTCCCAGTGACTAAGGCTGGAAACCTCAAAGTCACCTCCTTGCTGCCTCTCACAAGCTTGCTTCTTCTATAGTATCTTTTATGTCTCTTTTTGCCTTTCATTTCCACTGTCACAGCTGTAGTTAGTTTAGCTCCTTTCCTCTTCTCACCTGAGCTCTCACCTGGGCAGCCTCTGACATTGCTCTGTAATTCGAATTTTTTCTGCTCCGGTTGGTCCTGCCCACTACTGCTGTATGAGTTTCCTAAAGCTCATAGCTGATCATAACTTCCACCTGGTCAGAAACTTGTATTAGCTTATCATTGCCTAACAAATGGAGGAATAGATGGTGGGTGGAGAAAAAGAGAGAAATGGAGATGGAAGCGTAGAGCAGGAAAGACATACAGTCAAAAAGAAAAGAGAGGCAAAGAGACTTAGATTCACAAAGATGCTCACTGAAATGCTAGGCTCTAAAATTGCTCACAGATATACAGAGACACATACATATTGACTTAGAATGGTCACAAGTGAAGGATGCAATAAAGACAGAGTTGAGGGAATGGAGGTATGGCTCTATCCCAGCTACCAGCTTTTTTTTTCCTTGTAAAAAAGAGAAAAAAAAAATCAATGCTCCAGACAAAAAAGGGGATTTATTGTGAGGCTTTTATTAAAATTTTTGTTCAGTTGGGTTATTTCAAAATTTTCACTCCTACAATTTGCAGGTTTTCTGCATAGTGTAGCAGGTGGTGGGGGAGAGAAGAGATCTTTCTGTAGGGTGGATTGCTAGCAGTGAAACTACTAGGCAGAGGACCTGTGTAGTAGTAATATGACTGACTTCTGCTAAATTGCCATCAAGGGAGTTTTGGTTATTTTCTTGCCACCAACAGAGTTCGAGTGTTACGTTTGCTAAATCCTTGACAACACTGAACAATATCAACCTTTAAAATTTTTTTGTCAACCCAGTGAGCAAAAAACAGCTTATTTTAGTTTCCATTTCTCTGAATACTAATGAGGTTAAGCATCCTTTCATTTGTTTATTCATTTATTTGTATTTCTTCTTTTGTGAAGAAATGGGCGAGGGAATTTTATTTAGTTAAGTAAAATTCAAATCTGCCAAAATGTGTTGAAATCTGTTCAAAGATTTGATTAGGGGAGACATTGAAATGTATGATCAAATGGAAGGATAAGTTCTGTTAACTCCAGTTGCCCATGATGACGTTGTCATGTGTTAATGTATTAGTGATGGGTAAATTATATAGAAGCTGATCATTCTCAAGGCATAGGACAAGTAAGACAGTTTCCTATGGTGACAGTTTCCATTGTTTCACCTTTTTGAAAGTCTTAAGCAGTTTTCTGCTTCCTCTCCTTTTGTTCTTCTTTCTAGCCCCCTGGTTTTTTTTTTCTTCCTCAGTCTTCCTTGTCCCCTCATTTATTTCTTTTCTCAGCTTAAAGCCTGAAGTTACAGGTGAGGAGGAAGGAAATCAAGATTTGGGGCACAGTTAATTCTGGAAGAGAAGGGGTTGTTGCAGAGGAAACATTCCAGTTCCCTTTTCCCCCATGTTTTTAAGACTCAGTCATCTCTGCTCAGGTTATCCCATTTTTTCCCACTGTTTTTCTGTAGCTAGCACTTCTTTAGAAGGTCTCGCTCAGACGGCCATTCATAAGCCATCTGAGGGCAGTGAGCCACCAGCTAAAGAACCTGTAGAACATCCAGAAGCTCCAGTTCAAAAGAGACAGAGGAAGCCGAGGCTCTCTCTTGGTACGTACAGATTGTGACTGGGGAGGTGTGATTAAAAACCTGTCTGTTCCTAGTTTTCCCCATCCATATCCCATTTTTTCTTTTTTGCTTAAAATTTTTAATCACTAGAGTAACTCCAATGGGTTAAGTCAAGAATACTTTAGAGGATCTCTTTTCATCGTTACGTGTACAGATTATGAGAGAAGGGGTACAAATTTAGAACCAAAACACAAAGCTTAGATCTGGGTATGTATGCAAATGTAGTATATTATGAAATGGACATTGAAATTACTGGAGAAAGGATAAATTCTATATTAACAATAATATAATGAAACGACAGCCAACATTTTTTGTCTTGCTGTGCGCCAGGCACTATTCACAAGGTAAACAATATTATATCATTTATTTTGCTTATCAAATTGACGGTGCTTTTAAAAATTATAAAATCCAAAACTGTTAGATATGAAAGAATTGACGAGAATTGGGTACAGACACTAGTACACTGCTGATAGAAAGTATAAATTGACATAGCCTGCAGGAGCCTCTAGGAATAGAAGTAACTACAATAGCTGTAGTAATTAAAGGATGCTAACTGCAGCATAAGAGTAGAAACTGAGAATAACCAAGTATTTAACAATGTGATACTAGCTAAACAAACCATGTTTTATCCATTTAATAGAAACCAAGCACCCATTAAAAGGACTGTTAAAGTGAAATAGTAACCTGGAAAACCATCAGGGATATATTGTTAAGAACAAAGATTATAAAATAGAATGTATCAAAGGATCCCATTTTTGTAAAATATGTTCTATTAATGTCCTAGGGCTGCCATAACAGATTACCATAAAGTGGTTGACTTAAAACAACAGAAATTTAGTCTCTGACATTTCTGGAGGATAGAAGTTCAAAATCAAGGTATCTGTGGAGCCAAGCTCCCTCTGAAGGCTCTAGGAAAGAATCCATCTTGGCCTCTTCTACCTTCTAGTTGTTGGCAATCCTTGGCACCTTTGGCTTGTGATAGCATAACTCATTCTGTGCCTTTGTCTTCAAATTTTCCCTGTGTTTCTGTGTCCAGGTTTCACTGTTTATAAGGATATCAGTCATTGGATTTAGAGCCCATCCTAATGCAGCATGACCTCATCTTAACTTGATTACATCTGCAGAGCCCCTATTTCTAAAATCTCATTGACAGTATCGGGGGTTAGGACTTGAACATATCTTTTGGGGAGACACAATTCAATCCAGAGCATACGTATGTACAAACACATATAGTAAAAAGATTAGAGGAATATAGCAAAGTAATAACAGTGGTAGTTGTTTTAGGAGGGAGAATTAGGGAGGATTTAAAAAAATTTTCTTTCTTCATTTATACTTTACTAATTTTCATATATTATGTGTATATAGTTTTTATAATAATTAGAAAAAAGACAGCAGGTATTGTTAGAGTAAAACAAAGTACAGAACTAGGAGTGAGAGATTGGCTCTCTCCTGTTAACATCAACCCCTATGAATAATTTTTTACAAAATAATTTCCTGACTAATTCGTTGCCCTCTTAGAAGATAGCAGGATCTTGAGTTTTGTTTTGTTCAGAACGACTGTGGTGGATTCTACTGCTTCTAGTATATTTCCAGCCTAGGCTGTAATATGTTTTTTAAAATAGAATCTAGGAGGGCATTCCAGGAACCATTGTCTGTATTTCGAGGTAGGAAGAGTTGCTAGTGGGCTAGAAGGCTCCACTGACTCACTTGAACTTAATACCTTGTGTGCAAGAGAGAGTTAAGACAGTGGGACTGAGACTGCTCTCCTTGGAAAGGCCCACTTGTAAGGGTGCCTCTTGACTGGCATCTGATAGAAAACTTTCTCTAAATTATAAGGGTGCACACAGTATGATTTATGCTGAACACCTGCTTTCCTTCTGGGAGTCTGGAATTTTGTTATGCACTCACTATAGGGTGCCTGTGTGATCAGCCCTCAATAAAAAACCCTGGGCGCTGAGTGTCTGATGAGCTTCCCGGGAAGGGAGAGCCCCACGTGTGTTGTCACCACTTGTTGCTGGAGGAATTAGCACATTCTGTGTGACTCCATTGATAGAGGACCATTGGAAGCTTGTACCTGGTTTCTTTCAGACTTGGCTTCACGCTCCAAAGCTTTTTCCTTTTGCAGATTTTGCTTTATGTCTTTCCTCTGTAATAAACCATAACGGTGAGTGTAATGACTTCTAAGTCCTGTGAGTCCTTTGAGTGAATCACAGAACCTGGAGGTAATCTTGGAGATCTCTTGACATACCCTGGGTGTTGGATTACTTAATTTTTTTCCATATTGTTTGGCATTGCAATTTCAAGTTTTCTGTTAAGTGTTTTAGAGGTATAAAATTTAAAAAATTAAAAATTTTGTAAGGTGATTAAAAATTTGGAGGCCAATTAAAATTCTTAGAGTTCTGTTATTTTACAGAAGTCTTGTACATTACTTTTCTTTTTACACTGTAGTAATTTGAAAATTTAATCTACCTTATCTTCAGAATTGGAGACCACCTTTACCCAGAAGACGACATCTAGTCCATCGTTACTACCAAATGAAAATGGTATCAACGTGGAGCCAGCTGAGGAGCCAGTTATTCAAAAACCTCGGAGGAAGACAAAGTAAGAATTTATTTGTCCTCCTAAATCTTCTCCAGAGGTACTCTGATGCTTAATTTGGTAGCTTCTAACTAAGTCTTATCAAATACTTGTGGTTGTATATCTCTAGGATAAGGAATATTACAAAAATATCAATTAAACCAATCTAAGGATAAATTTGGAAAGAGTAAACCACTGAGAAAAGTAAAATATTGTATTTAAATTAAAAATTATAAGCGCTGTCTCTAAAAAAGAGAAACACAAATAGAAGATTTTATATAAGTAGAAAAAATACATGTAAAAGATACTAAAAATTAAAGGTTGTATTAATAAAATAGGCTATTTATTTTCTCATGTTAACAGAATTCAACTTATGATTACTTTAGCAGTAAATAAAAATGTCCATTTTAGCATAGGAAATTAAGTCTCAGATAAAATAGAATGGCATGCTTTAAAGAAGTACACTGGAAGTTTTATAACACTGTTGTTTGTATTTGGAAATGACCCTACAAGTAGTGATCAGTATCTATATAGAATCACATAATTTTAAGAATTATGTGAAGAATCTGTGAAGAATCTGACAAATCTAGTTGTCACTTCATTTTTCAGATGAGAAAGCTGAGGCCCACAGAAATATAGATGACTTGCTATACATAGCAGTTAATAATGGATCCATTTGAGTAAAAAACAAATTTCTTGACTCCAAGTCCAGGGCTCTTTCCATTAGACTCACAGGTATCTCTTTATTTGGGTCTGTAAAAAGTCAATAATCATTCATTTTTCTTATCTTCTCTCGGATTACAGGAAAACGCGGCCAGCAGAATTACATTACGCCAATGAGCTAGGGGTGGAAGATGAAGACATCATCACTGATGAGCAGAGCAGTCCAGAACAGCAGTCTGTGTTCACTGCGCCCACTGGCATTAGCCAGCCTGTGGGCAAAGTGTTTGTGGAAAAAAGCCGTTAAGTAGTTCCTT